ACCCACCATACCCTGCCTGCAAGCTGGCAGATCTAAAAGCTCTCGTTTTCAAGGCGGACAGGATGCCTCCATATATCTGTTTGCTTCCGGAACTTTCCAACGGGCTGTGGTTTCACCTTAGCCTGGTAGGTGGGTTTATGTATTTGTGATTTTAACTAAACTAACTGACAGGGAAGACAACTGGATACAGAGTACACCTGGGGGGGAGTCACAGACCTGAGTTACAAGTCTGGCGCAAAGGAGCCACAGAAACACAAATGGGAACACTCACACGGGTGCTCATCATCAGCCACGTTTCTGTAATCAGATGTCGAAGAGCCTGTCCAGAGAGCTGAACATTATCAGGAGGACCAAGCAAGATATGGGTTTCCATTCGCCAAGTGTATATTGTGTCCTGAGACATGAACTTAAGATGGAATGAAGCCGTCATGATTCACAGGATACTGAAGACACTGTCGTCTTCACCCTTCTGTATTTCACCTTCTGGTGTGAAACACGCTCATACGTCAGCACAGCCTCGGTGTATACACATCAGGCTGCCGTCCATGGGGTCACTGAGAGTCAGACACAACTGAAGTGACTTAGCATGCACAAGCTCAACGATTAAGTTCTACTGTGAAGGACACTTCCTGTTTTTATGTTTCTGGACTTTCTGGCGGTGAGGTACCATGTAACCTATAAAGTCATAGCTGGATCTGAAATTGGTCATTTATAATAAGACACTACCTCCAGATTGCTTTCTAAAAACATTTCAAATTGTTCCTATCACTTTGGGCATCCAGCCCATGTCAAAGAACAAGTGAAAGGCATATACTCAAAGGCCCCCTCTCTCGCTGTGATGTTAGAGGCAAGACAACTGGATACAGAGTACACCTGGGGGGGAGTCACAGACCTGAGTTACAAGTCTGGCGCAAAGGAGCCACAGAAACACAAATGGGAACACTCACACGGGTGCTCATCATCAGCCACGTTTCTGTAATCAGATGTCGAAGAGCCTGTCCAGAGAGCTGAACATTATCAGGAGGACCAAGCAAGATATGGGTTTCCATTCGCCAAGTGTATATTGTGTCCTGAGACATGAACTTAAGAAGGAATGAAGCCATCATGATTCACAGGATACTGAAGACACCGTCGTCTTCACCCTTCTGTATTTCACCTTCTGGTGTGAAACACGCTCATACGTCAGCACAGCCTCGGTGTACACACATCAGGCTGCCATCCATGGGGTCACTGAGAGTCAGACACAACTGAAGTGACTTAGCATGCACAAGCTCAACGATTAAGTTCTACTGTGAAGGACACTTCCTGTTTTTATGTTTCTGGACTTTCTGGCAGTGAGGTACCATGTAACCTATAAAGTCATAGCTGGATCTGAAATTGGTCATTTATAATAAGACACTACCTCCAGATTGCTTTCTAAAAACATTTCAAATTGTTCCTATCACTTTGGGCATCCAGCCCATGTCAAAGAACAAGTGAAAGGCATATACTCAAAGGCCCCCTCTCTCGCTGTGATGTTAGAGGCACGAAGAAAGTAAGACAGAATTTTATCCGGGCACACGAAAGCCATGCTGTAGAGGGCAGGCCTCTTGGACGAACGTTCGCAGACATTATTCTCAGGAATTCACTTTCAACTACTAACCGTATATGAGGTCTGCAGTTAAATTAGCATTATAGAGGACAAAAGAATGTTAAGTGGTCTTCAGAATTAAAAGCAAGGGTTTGCCAGCCTCAAGGAGGATCAGTTGAAACGATATCCTATCTGCAAACGTTGTTTGAAGAGGCGACATTAAAATGAGAGAGGTGAAAAAAGCGGGGAAGGAGAGAGGCAGTTATTTCTTTTCTAATCTAAGCTTCATCCTCAGCAGAGAGTCTCATTATGCTGGACATTCTGAAGACTAGGTCAGAGCTGATGATGTGTAAGGCACGTATGGTGGCGTTTAAACAATAATTGGTTAATCACTGTGCAGAACTCGTCTCATCTCCTAAACTCTGTCTTTCCTTTTTTCAAAAAAGAAACTTCATTCACAGATTAATTCAGTTTGGAAGATCTGATCCACACGAGTTAACTCAATGTAAAATCTTCAGAGGGAAAACCAAGCGCAGGTTGACAGGTGTATGAAGCTTGCCTGGGTTTGACCCCAGAGTGGAAATGCATCCTCTCAGGCGAACACAGCCCATTCTTTTCCTGGCATGAACCTGAGCTGCAGGAGTCGGCCATGAAAAATTCATGCAGGGTGCTTCAGCGGTCCACCTACGTCCTTAACATCTGCTGGCTTCACGTCACATGAAAACTTCAAAGTGAATCCACCCCATGATTGCGGCAGGCTTTCCCTGGGAGCAGGGGTGAACAGCCCAGAGACGTCCTCCCCTTCCCGGCAGGCAGGAAACGCCTGGCAGGACGCGGTGACTTACCCTCTTAGCCACGTAAAGGGGGAGGGCGGGGAGCAGCGGGGGTACCATGGCGGGGCTGCATGGCCCTTCGGATTGTTGTGCTGCCTCAAAATTTTATTTTTAATCTCCACCTTTTTGCTTCCCATAAGCGTCCAGTGTAGCCAAAATATTCAGCCACTGAGAAGGTGGTGAGGCTACTCTGAAGCGCGCAGCTGTGCGGGGAAACACATCGTCTCCTCCTGCCAGCTGGGTGACAGGGTCCCGCTCACGTGGGTGGGTCCAGGCAAGGCCAGCCCGGGAGCAGCTCCAGCTGGATGCCAGGCTGTCCCGGCAACAGGAGCAGTTCAGTACGACGACTGCAGACAAGAGGTGGGCCGCGTGGCTCTCTCCCCTTTTAAGTTAATTACAGTGCAAGCCAGCAGGAATTTAATTGCCAGTGGCCCACCACCTTGATCACATTCGCTACAGAGAGGTTCCCTACTTCATTCTCCTGATGCCGAGGGAAAATCTATCACCGTTAAACGATAATTGGCTGTAATATCTTTAGATTCTTCAGAAATGCTGGCTGGCAAGTTTCTAAAATTTTTCATCAATCTTGTTTGGTGTTTTTAAGAGGCCTACATCAGAGAAAAAAAGATGTCTAGGTCTGAAGAACACACTGCATCTTACTATCTGCGTGAACAGGTCTCAAGAGTGTTCCATAATAAATTTATGGAGTTTATTTTTACTATAATTTAAATTTTATTCATTATTTATTTATAATTCCATAATAAATCCAGTGGAGGTGAGGCACCCTCCGTATTTCACATGGTGCTGGCAGGGGAGTCCCAAACAACAGTGCCCCCCATCCCCACAGTGTTCCCCACAGTCCAGAGAGGAGAAAAATTTAAACAGTCACTTCCGGGGACTTCCCTGGCAGTCCACTGGAGGGCCAGTGGTTAGGACTCTATGCTTCCACTGCAGAGTGTGTGGGTTCCATCTCTGGTCAGGAAACTAAGATCCCACAAGCTGCAGAGCAAGGTCCAAAATTTTAAAACAGGAATAAATAACAGTACAAATAAATAAACAAGCAATTCTGGGGTTTTCTGCAGATTTATCAAGACTTCTGATCTTTAGAGGTTTTCCAAATAGAACTCCAGTGAGAAAATGTATGATTGGGTGGTGTTTAACTTTTAGGGAAATCTAATACATCAACAGGCCAGTTCACTCAAGAATTAAAACAAGGTTGTCTCCTCAATCTCCTTACTTGTCACATTCTATCTGGTCCCCATAAAGAACAAAGAATACAAAAGCGGACAGAATGCAGATCTTCTCCTAAGATTTAAAATAAGTCTGTCCATATCATCACTTCCTTATATCTCACCTTCTACACATTTTACCTGGTGCCAACAAAAAGATAAAAATACACACGGAAACAAAATGCAAGGCAGTTAATTATAATATTTATGAGCTGCTTCTAAAATGCTTCTTGGTTAGACACTGAAATTATTAAAAAATTTACATATTCCAATTATCTAAGGCATGGTACTGTGTTAGTACGGCAACCTGCAAATCCACTGTATTGGCTTCATTTTCTGGCTCTTTAGGAAACTACTAGGTGTGGACTGTTTCATAACTTTGTGATGTTAGCATCAAGTTAACCAGAGTATTTGTGCAATTTCCCCTCCTCTAATAGACTAAGGTCAATTTTTTTGTTTCTGACTCAGAATTCTACTAAGCTGACCTATTATTAGCTTAGTACACACATTACAATTGAGTGCTGAATCAGATTTGCTAAACAGAATAAATGGTTCTAATGATATAAGTTGGAAATGACTAAAGTTATCACAGTCTATTTAATAACACAGTTTCCATCTTTTATTGTTAGTATTGAAAAGTCTTCATAAATCACATTCTTTTACTGCTGTGATTCTTGCTTCATGGGGTCCTTTAAACAGCAGAGCAACCTGCACTGGACGTTGTGAGCCCAACATCGAATCAATGGACGAGCTCTCCACAGCCCCAAGAGGCTCCACTGAAGGCCAGACCTGCACCCTCTGTGGTTGGAGCTGAGGACTCAGTTCCCAGGAATCACGGTGCCGAGGACAGGGCGGTGGCCACCTGGGACCACTTGCCGGGCACGTGCGGGGCAGGTGAGGGCACGCTCGGTTAGTGCCCGCTGCCTCCTGACCCCAGAGCTGGCTACACTCTCCCAGGAACTGTGCTGGGCCTAAAGCAACTGCATGGTTGGGGACCAGGAGAGGCAGATGCTGTGGTCGACCTCACCTATGAAACAAAACCACCAAAGGGGAAAGCCATTCCTCCAAAGAGCTTTCTAAAGAGATGAAATCCACCACCATACAGTCAAACCGACCTCACTCCGTTCGGACATGATCACAATATTCGGAAATTTTCCACGATCACCTCTCAACCGTGTTTTCTCAACAGCACAGTCCCTGCCTTTCCGACCATGAAGCTCCTCGCTGCAGACGTCAGCGGCACTTCTGAGACTTACCTTTCATCTCGTTTGGCTCCGAGTTCTCGCTTCTCATCATTCCCTCTTCTCTGGCAATCAGCTCTTGCAAGGACAATTTTTGGAGCCTTCTTTGGAAGGCCAAATATGTGAACTAAGTAGGGCTGGTCTTGTTCTCCCCGTTTCTCTCGTTGACCGCCTGCACGTAGTAGGCCCCCGCGTCGCTGGCCGCCGCCGCCAGGATCACCAGCTGGCTCTCCAGTGAGATGGCTCTGTGTCAGGGGAGAGGGAGGGACAGGGTCAAGGCCCACGCACAGAACTTCTTCGCAAAGCCCGTTAAGTCACAGGCCAGCTGTAAATGAGTGTCCACAGCTGGTTTTGTTTGTTTTTTAGTTAAAACGAGATCTGGGAGGACAGAAACGAATCCCCAGGCCAACCTGAGGAGTGAGGTGGAGGCCGAAACCTCCTCAGGTCCAACGATGCACTCGCTCCTGCCGGCCAGGGTCTGGGAGCCCCGGTTGCCACCTCCCTACCAACCCCGGTTATGGGAAGACAGCCTTTGGAACATACACACCCAGGGCTTGTCACACTTAGAGGTTCCTCAGGGAATTCGTGACGAGACGGGTTAGAAGAAACTCTGGAGGAGCTGCCTCTCTCCTTCAGGCAGAGCTGTTTGGTCACACTGGACCCCAAACCCTGGACCCGCAGCGACGGGAGCCATTGTGATTCTCCACTCCCAGGGAGCCCCCTTAGATAAGCCACTGTGCCGCTACTTCCAGACCCCCGGGCCGAAGCAGAGTGGCCAGTGGGCACCGTGCTGACCCCATCAGCTCGGTCTGCCCGTAATCACTAACCTCAGGGCTGCACGCCCTCCTGCGCCTTCTCCCCACGCCCTCAGCTGCAAACAAACATTCTAGGCCATCATCCCCGAGTCCTCATAGATTCCAATCCTACGGTGAAAAGGCACCCCTGGGACACATCTGACCCACACACCTTCTCTTTAGAAATGAGAAAACCAAGGATCAGAGAGGTCAAGTTGTTTGTCCAAGGTAACACAGAGGCATTACTTTGCCAACAAAGGTCTGTCTAGTCAAAGCTATGGTTTTTCCAGTAGTCATGTACAGATGTGAGAGTTGGACCATATAGAAGGCTGAGCCCCGAAGAACTGATACTTTCGAACTGTGGTGATGAAGAAGACTCTTGAGAGTCCCTTGGACTGCAAGGAGATCAAACTAGCCAATCCTAAAGGAAATCAATCCTGAATATTCATTGGAAGGCCTGATGCTGAAGTTGAAGCTCCAATACTTTAGCCACCTGATGTGAAGAGCCAACTCATTGGAAAAGACCCTGATGCTGGGAAAGACTGAAGGCAGGAGAAGAAGGGGACGACAGAGGAGGAGATGGTTAGATGCCATCGCTGATTCAATCGACAAGAGTTTGGGCAAGCTCTGGGAGATGGTGAAGGACAGGGAAGCTTGGAGTACTGCAGTCCATGGGGTCAGAAAGAGTCGGACACTACTGACAGACTGAACAACAATCAAGGTAACGCAGCAAGGCGACGATTCCAGAAGGAGGACTAAGTCTTCTCACATATAGACTGGTGTTCTGCCGACCATACCCCGTACACAGGCTCTCACCCTTACTTATTTAGAAGAAGAAGAAGAAAAGCAATAAAGACAAAAATTTCATAAATCTGAGCAACCTTTCATTAGATGGGTATGCTTTGCCCATGTTATTGTTCTGTATCCTTTTTACTGGGGCTTCCCTTGTGGCTCAGAGCTTAAAGCGTTCTTTGTACTAGTTAAGGAGGTTGGGAGGCGGTAAGACCCTGTGTTAAAAAACAAAAAAGCAAAGTAAGTGATTTTTTCCTTGTCTGCTGAAGAGCACTTTCTTCACAGTCTGAGCACTGAAAGTCCTCCAGCCTACGCCCTCATGTTCAAAACACTAGAAAAATCCTGGGCCACTGGAGTGGATTGCATCACCTCCCACAACCGTGTGACTCTATGGTGAACAGTTTTATTTGTTTGCTTTTAATCCTAGATCATCACAGCCCTTCCAGATTCATGTAAACTAAGATCTCTATCCCAGTAACACCAAAAACATGCAAAATAAATAACTTCCCATGAGAAATTTTAACATAATAATCATCTTTTTCTTCCTGCTACCTCCAAAAACCTTTTTCAAAATCTCTTGATTTTCAGACACTTTTTAAGATTATCTTAAGAAGTTACTGCTTATTCAGGGTTCCCATAGGATATATTAGATTTGAGGTCTCTATGATTAACTTACCCCATTTCTCATTTAAGAAAATTTCCCTATTAAGAAGTTTTCAATTTTTAGTCCCATAAAAATATTTCACAAAAGCTTTACTATAATTATTTATAACTCCTTTATAGATTCCTTTATAGAACCATGGAAATTGTTCCATTTTATTTTAGAATATGTTACACTGGCACCTAAAATTAAATACGAATTATTTATTACATACAAAGTTTCACATTTAATAGTACAATTTAAAAACTGAATATATCATAACTTTTTTTTAACATCTGATTTTTGCCATAGTAATTTCAAATATGCCTATTATTCCTCAGAATTATTCTCCAAAATATATCCATTAATTCTCTGTATTATTTATGACATTGTTTCAAGGGTACTGAAAATAAAAAAGTACATAAAGAATAGAAATATTAAAGTTTACATCTATTATAATTTATATCTATAAGCTCATTTTTTCTTCTAGCTTTAAGTTTCTGTAGTAAAGTCAAAACTTGTGAAGAGAAATCTATCTATTGCCAAAAAGAATACCACAAAAATTCCCAAACTTTACCAAACATTAAATTAATAAGGATCAGTTCCCCAGAAGACTTTATCCCTGCCTATTCAACTCTTTCTGAATAGAGCACTTATACAAAAGGAACTGATTTTTAAATGAAAACTAAAATATCTAACAACATTCAACTAATTCACAATTCTGGCGATGGTGTGATGCTTAAGGGAAGAGCACCTTTGAAGACAGTGGGGCGGGTACCAGGTGTGCACGCTTGGTCCTCTTTCCCGGGAGACCCTGAATCTGGGGTGGTGCCCAAGCCTCCGCAGGCAGCCCGTGATGAGGGGTCAAGCCAGCCCCGCTCCCAGCAGCAGGCTTGCCACGCCGGCTTCGCTGAAGACCGTGAGGAGCTGCCAGGGAACCCGAGCTCCGCACAAGGCCAGCGGGAGGACTGTGCAGGGGCCAGTCAGACCCCTGCCTCCCTGGGGGCTGCCGGGGCCGCGCTTCCAACCCCGAGAGGAGGGAGCACGTGAACAAACCAGGAGGAAGGACGGAGCTGTGAGAGCCAGAGGGAGCCAGCCCACAGCCTGAGTGTAATGACGAGCACGCGACCTACGCGATCCTTTAATACGACTCTTACTCGCGTTCGTAAAGCAGTCAGTGACGGCGTGAGGTCACCAGGGGGCTGACGTCCAGCTCTCCTCGCTCCCCGCCCTGGGGGGGGCCATGCCACACAGCCTGGTCTGTGCCGGTCCGTGCTCTCCAGTCGCTCCCTCGAGCGACGGACAGAGGAGACCAGGCTCCGGGCAGCCGGGCTGTGGCATGGACCTGGACGGTCACTGGTCTGGGGTGGCCACACCTAAGTTAGCTCATCAGCTCATGGGCAGGACGTCCACCCCTTGGCTGGGGGTCGGGCTTTTTCTCCCGCTACTAGGTATGAACAAGGAAGCCTGCTGTCCCAGACAGATGTTCACGATGACAGTTTATGGCCGTGACGGGAACAACCTTAGAACGAGGCTGACATGTTGATGGCAGGACAGAGAATGGCCAGCACCCGTGTCCTTGATCTTGAGGCCCTGGTGGGGCCAGTGGACTGTCCTGCAGGCCTCCAATCCCTGGACCTCCCACTTCACGAGGTAATGTACTTCATTCGTGCCTAAACACAGTAAGTCGGGGTTTCTATTACTAGAAGTGAAGTACATTCTGATATAGATTCAGCACATACCATAGCAGAGAAGAGTGAAAAGCTGGCTAAAACTCAACATTCAAAAGACTAAGATCATGGCATCTGGTCCCATCACTTCATGGCAAATAGATGGGGAAACGATGGAAACAGTGACAACACAAAGAGTCGGACATGACTGAGCAACTGAACTGAACTGAACTGAGGGTGAGAAAAAAAAAAATAACAACTAAAACGTGTATCCTCTGTGCATAGAAAAACAGTCCCATATATCAGCCTACCTATGTGTAGACATGAAATGTTAGCAGTGGCTGTGTTGTGTGTGTGCTGGGCTAAGTTGTGCCTGACTCTCTGCAACCCTATGGATCGCAGCCATCCAAGCTCCTCTGTCCACGGGATTCTCCAGGCATGAACACTGGAGTGGGCTGCCACGCCCTCCTCCAGGGGATCTTCCCGACCCAGAGGGTGAAGCTGTGTTTCCTGCGTCTCCTGCACTGGCAGGCGGGTTCTTTACTACTGAGCCGCCTGGGAAGTCCCTAACGGTCAGTGGCTAGCTCTGAGTAACAAGATTCTAATTTATTTTCTTTCCATTTTTGCTTTCTTAAAATATTTTCCACAGTAAATATCACTTTTGTTATCAAAAGAAAAACATCTCAAAATGAATGCAGGGTATGCTAAGTAATTATGGGTAGCAAAGTTCAATAATTTGCCCATATTATGAACTATATAGCTTCCACTACAATGTAATTCCAAAGTACTAATTTAAAACTTAGATTGATTTTTAACAGGAAAACTACAGTATTAGGCCAGAGATTTTCCTTTCTCTTAACTTTATTAAAATAACTGTATGTATGGTTTGTGTAAAATTCTTCCCTTAGTCTTTCCCAACTTAATGCTACACTTCAAAACGACATCTGATGATTCTAATTCCATGGAATAATGCTGCTGCTGTGTTCAGTCCATCAGTCGTATATGACTCTTTGTGATCCCATGGGTTACAGAACGCCAAACTTCCCTGACCTGCCAATGTAGGAGACACAAGACAATCAGGGTCGATCCCTGGGTAGGAAGAGCCCCTGGAGAAGGAAATGGCAACCCACTCCAGGATTCTTGCCTGGGAAATCCCGTGGACAGAGGAGCCTGGCGGGCTACAGTCCATGGGGTCACGAAAGAGTCAGACGCGAGTTAGCCACTAAACAGCAGCAGCAAGAGTGGTTTCAGACCCAAAGAGAGGAGATCCAAGAGTTTCCCCATCAAAACGTTCAGTGTGGGCTTCCCTGACGGTCTAGGTAGGTTAAGAATCTGCCAGCCAAAGCCGG